AGATAATATAAAATATCATCCCAGTTTCTTTAAATGAAGTCCATTCTCTTCTAGACAAATTTTCAGATTACTTTCTCTCTCAATGTGTGTACTCAGGCGTTTAAATTTGACTTTTAATGGTCAACATAGCTTTAGGTTACATTGGTTAATGTTCAAAATATCTTTTTTTGAACATTGGAACGTGAAATATTTTTCAATTTAAAAATTATTAAATTTTTAACTTTCAAGCTGAAATTTTCTCATAATAAAACTCACAAAAAGATAAGAAAGTTTTTTCCATTTATTCAGAACAAAACAAAATCAAAAATTTAGTTAAACTTTCTACAATATTCTGAGAATTATGAGGAAACATTATCATGTCATAATGACCCTTACCGCCAACTTCATTACCAACAAGTTTAACTTCCACAGTATAGCTGTTGAGCTAAAAAGCACTTCCTTTTGAAATTGAAAAAATATGTATGTCGGTTTGTATGAGTTTATCTAAGCAGGATGTTTAAAATTTTCTACTCTTTTTTCGCAAGTAAAATCTAACAATTGTTTACCGAGTGATGATGTTGATGCTTAAGATTGTAGTTAAATAAACTTTTTTGTTGCCTTTTCTACAAACTCATTAAAGAAGAGGCGTTACGCATTACTCTCCCCCCCATCAGCTATCCTTGATGAAAACCTAAACTCGACTACAGAACACATGTATGTAGTTAATGTAAATTTTCTGCTATGCTCCTTTAGATTGTTTCCGTATCTTTGTTTTTTTTGCTTTGTTTTCTCTTCTTTATAGCGCCCTAGTAAATAGAATAAATCTGTAGTGTATGTCTTTTGATTGAAAAATTATAATAATGATGTGGGTAAAATTGTTTATTTTCATCTTGTCAGTCAATCATTAAAGTATTTGTGCTTTAAGAAAGTTAAATTGGCCAATAAAATAAATATTGGTTATTTTAGACAGACTTTTAAGTTTTATGTAAAAAGTTGTTTTGAAGAACTTTGAGGTTGTTTGATGTAATGGCTATTGTCTTGGTTTACAAGGGGACCATTATATTTTGAACTACCCTAAAGAAAGGGAGAATTTAAGTCGTTCTTTTGCTGATTCTTTAGAACAGGGAACTTCAAATGAACGTGACTTACCATACATTTCCCTAGAAATGCAAAACTTTGGATTCGAACTCCTTCGTATACTTTTCTAAAGGATTAAGCTGTATGGCCTTAGAATTTCTCCATTACTTCTATTAGATTTAATATAAAGGCTTAACATCTGACATATCTTCTTTCTCTTCGAGGTATCTCCACCTAAAGCTTGATACGACAATAAACAGGTATGGGGGGTAATGATTACACAAAGTAATTCATTACATGGTCAATTACAATTACTTGTAATGGAAATTTTTTCAATTACAATTACTTGTAATCAGTGATGCCAGGAGATTTTTTTCAGAAATCCCTACGCTTATGAGAAAAAATCCCTTTTTTCCCTACACCCACTTTTTATTTTCCCTACATTTTTCCCTACAATACTATTTTCCAAGTTTATCTTAAAAAAATACAAAAATAACATAAAAAACTAAAATATTAGCTCCGTTTTATAATATACATATATACATATATATGTATTTTTTTTTTTTAATTTTTAGGAATGAAATTTCTAGAATTTAAATTTTTTTTCTTTTAATTTTACATAATACAAATCTTTCAAGCCTGACTCTTCAGTTAAGATTAAAAAAAACAACACAATTGAAAGATTTATGGCAGTATCACGATTCGATATTAAAAATTTATTTTATGTTTTTTAAGGTTTACTTTCGCGTTTACTTTTGCGTTTACTTTTTGCGGTTTACTTTTATAAATTTTCAGAACATTAAATCTAAATGAAAGATTTTAGTATGTCGCATGTTTTGTAGACCTCAGTTCAAGAAACCCGAATTTTGGATTATCCCAGTCTTGTAGCGATATGTAGGTACATATATTGTAGAAATTACAAGCGGAATTTTTACTAACGATACACTTAAACCTGATTTCATTTTTAATTTTAAAGTTTAATACATGAAAGGGTATATTTTTAGTTGTTAAAAACTATGAAATTGAAAAATCCCTACAATTTGACAATAGTAAGAAATCTTTCCCTTTTTCCCTACACGTGAAATTTTTGAAAAAAATCCCTACAAAAAGGGAAAAATCCCTACACTTGGCATCACTGCTTGTAATGTGTAATTGACCGATAACCAATTACAATTACTTGTAATTGTAATTGAAATTTTCCAATTAAAATTACATTTAATTGTAATTAAGGCATTACTAATTACAAATTACATGTAATTATAAGGAACAAAATCCACAATTACAAGTAATTGTTATTGGAAATTCTTCAATTACAATTACAAGTAATTGTAATTTGCAAAACTTCAATTACCATTACAAGTAATTGTAATTGGCAAAACTTCAATTACAATTAAAAGTAATTGTAATTAGTAAAGCTTCAATTACAATTACTTCAAATGTAATTGTAATTTAAAATGTAGTCATTACCCCCCAAGCCTGACAATAAATAGACGTCGTTGAAGTTGACGGACGGACAGACATCGTTAACTCGAATCAGAAAGCTATTTTGAGTCGATTGGAGCATCCTCGGGTAGGTATGGATCCAGTATTTTTGCTCGTTATAAACAATATATACAAAGCATAATACCCTTCGCTCTATAGTAGTGTAGGGAATAAATACTGTGATTATCATGAGTCTTCAAGCTTTTGCCAAAGATATCTCGAAGAAGATATTAAGACTCTATATTTTTAAGTTAAGAGAATGGAATTTCAGATGGAAAACCACATTTTCTACATAAAGTTGATTTCGCGCCGTTATAACGTATCAAAAAGGGTCAAAAATGGCTTTTCTTATATTCAGGATACGATAAATCCCTGATGTGAGTGAGAGCTCTTTGGTTAGTTTCGGATTAACTTTAGTATAGTTTAGTCTCAGGGTTTCGATATTTTTCAAATTATGTCGGGATGTGATATTTATCACAATATAATTGAATTGATACATTGAAAAGTAAGGTGGGTGACATTGGAGGCAAATACTTACCACGCTCGCTTATAAGTAGGGAGTTAGGTAAGTACTTACTACGAGCGCCAGAAAATAAAGAGTAAAGTAAGTAGTTTTGTTTCTCAGACAAAAAAAAAAAAAAAAATTCCTACGAGGATACGTGCACTGTGTCTGTTATTAGTTTTCACAATTCTTTTTGCGTTGTGAAGGCTAAAAAGTAAGTACTCACATAATATATTATTTGTAAGTCATTACTAGACACCTTCTAAGTATGGTATGTAGTAGTCATTGAAAAGTAAGTTGTTGAGTAAATACAAGACATTACCATGTTTTTGCTGGAAACTTCCACTGACATCTTTGGCATTTGTTAGATATTTATTAATGAATATTTTATTTATATTTTAAAAACAAACAAATGGAATGAATAATAACTTTTCCACAAATGATGTGTAAATAATAGATTAACAAATTATTAGATATTAAAATGCAACTTACTATTTATACAAATTCTTAACGGAAATAGATTTAAAATGGTTTTCCAACTTCCCAAGCTAATCACTTCTCACATCATTGACTTCGCAAAAGAAGAAAAACATAAAGAATTTATTAAACACAGACTGAAACCTCATGAACGATACAGCTGTGATAAAGATAAAAATAAATTCCATCAATTAGTTTCAGAAAATCTACAACCTTTTTTAAACAATAGTAGTCAACTCCTACTAAAAATTTACTTAAATTTAAAGCAACTCCTCTTAGTTCATTTTCCCAGAAAATAATGAACTAGAAAAGGGTTTCAGAAAACTGATTAGAAAAGTTGTAAATTTAAAAGAAAGGAGGTTAACACACACTCCTTAAAAAACTGTATATTATTAACACTTTTCCATTTTGTCGCACTGATTGTTTATTTTTAGTGCGTTTTTTCTCTCGCCTCCAGAATTTTTAAATCACACATCATACAAAAGTTTTATCATTTGCCCACAAGTCTTTGTTTTATTTTGTCACTTTTCTGGGGTTTAAGAACTTTTCGATGTTGGCACTTAATGAAGGGGCGTTATCTAAACTCACTAAATCATCAGTGACAATGACAGCTAGAACATTCATTCTTATTATCGAATATTTAGCTTCATTAAGTTTGTTTTAGTTTTCTCCATTTTGTTCCAAATTCATTCATTCATTTACACATTTTATTTTTGAGGTTCAAATCTAGCAAAAGTCGAGTTTTTGTAGTTTAGTAAATGTTTGTTTGTCGAATGAAAAAACAAAAAAAAAAAAAGTATAATCATAATGATGTGCGGCGCAAAAGGTTCCTCTTGTTGTCATTTTTGTCATCTCGTTATGTGATTATAATCGACGTCTGTAGACGCAGGATGACAAAAAAAAAAAAAAAAAATATAAACAAAAACTCCCTTAACTTGAAGGAATAATCAGGACGACAAGAAAGAATCTTTAACAATATGATATGATTCATAATAGACATACAAACTTGTGTATATTTATTAGACATATCCTCGAATGAAAAATAAGTAATAAAGTAAATTTGGTCACAACTGTCCGCATAACTGAGAGATTTTCAATATGTACGATATCATCATACATTTTAGCAACTTATTTATATCGATATTTAAATCGATTTCAAAAAGATCAACAAGCTTCATATGTAACGTTACAGAAGTACAAGTCCCAGCCTTTCTTCTGTAGGATCTATATTTATCGTAAAATATATTTATACAACTACTATTAAACATTGCCTAGTCTGTCTGAGATCATCATATAAAGAAAATATTAAAAAGTGCGAAAATAGAACTGAATTTAAAATTCAAAACACACTTGTTCAGATGTTGACATTAATTCGACTTAAATAAAAAAAATTGACCTTATTTTAGATTCAGGTGTTTTTTGGCAATTACATTGAATTAATTTAAATTACACATTTTTAATTTTACATAAATACTGCTCTTAAATCGATAAACACCTTAAACATTCACTGATCAACAAAATGAAATTGCTGCACATTTTAACATTATTATTAGCGGCTTTAGTGTCTTATACAACGGCCCAAAGATGTATCGCCACTCTACGTAAGTTTTATCTTTTAATAATAATTTAACTCATTAACTTTATTTTTGTATATATCTACTTTCCTAGGACCTCCTTCCTGTATCGGTCCACGTAATGTGGGTCGTGGTGGCCGCGGTTGTATCTCTCGCCGCATGTGGTATTACGATGGTCGTGCTAGACAATGTCGACAAATGCGTTATTTGGGTTGTGGTGGCAATGACAATCGTTGGTGCCAGCGAGCAACTTGTGAACGTAGATGCCGTCGTCGTTAACGATTTTATTAAAATAAAATGTTTTGTTTGGAAATGTGTATCTAAAACTTTACAAACTTTCGCAAAAGACTTTTTGCAATATCTGAAGCCATGAAGCATGTATGTAGCTATTAAAACTACAGTCGTAAAACTGGGAATATTTTTTTAATTGGATACTTAGACTTAGGTTGAACTACAAAGAACTGAACTAGAACTGAACTAGAACTGAACAAGAACTGAACTAGAACTGAACTAGAACTGAACTAGAACTGAACTAGAACTGAACTAAAACTGAACTAGAACTGAACTAGAACTGAACTAGAACTGAACTAGAACTAGAACTAGAACTGAACTAGAACTGAACTAGAACTGAACTAGAACTGAACTAGAACTGAACTAGAACTGAACTAGAACTGAACTAGAACTGAACTAGAACTGAACTAGAACTGAACTAGAACTGAACTAGAACTGAACTAGAACTGAACTAGAACTGAACTAGAACTGAACTAGAACTGAACTAGAATAGAACTGAACTAGAACTGAACTAGAACTGAACTAGAACTGAACTAGAACTGAACTAGAACTGAACTAGAACTGAACTAGAACTGAACTAGAACTGAACTAGAACTGAACTAGAACTGAACTAGAACTGAACTAGAACTGAACTAGAACTGAACTAGAACTGAACTAGAACTGAACTAGAACTGAACTAGAACTGAACTAGAACTGAACTAGAACTGAACTAGAACTGAACTAGAACTGAACTAGAACTGAACTAGAACTGAACTAGAACTGAACTAGAACTGAACTAGAACTGAACTAGAACTGAACTAGAACTGAACTAGAACTGAACTAGAACTGAACTAGAACTGAACTAGAACTGAACTAGAACTGAACTAGAACTGAACTGCGGCTCTAGTAATAAAGAACAACAATTCATTTTCAAGATCAAAATCGCAAAAAAATAGATTTTTTATTTTCAAAAATTTTTCTGAATAAGGCGTATACTTAATATTTTTGATATCAATAAATCATAATCACGTATACGTATAGGTGTCGTTAATAAACGCAGCGGAACTGAAATCGTTTTTTAATTGCTCCCTCCTAATGTTTGCATTCACACATAAGTAAATTTAAGTTTATACAAACCCTCTAACAAAACAACTTTATTAATAATAATGTTGAGGGCTTTTTTAACTTTTGTTTTAGTTTGAGTTTTGTTGTTTAGTTGGGTTATTTAGTTGGCAGTTAGTTGATTTTGTGGTTGTATCCTGTTTATTTAGACTTTGTTGGCGCTTTATGTTCTGTTTATACTTGTAGTTGGTCTCTGGTTGTTAAGTGTTTCTCATTATTGTTACAGATTTGAATTGCAAATTTTGTTTGTACATATATTACCAATTTATGTGGTCATTTTGTTACGGTCGCCTTTACCCACACATACACACCCTCTTCATTGGAACGACACAACAAGATGTGATATTTATTAGCATATAAAACAAATAAAGGACACTTACAATTGTAATGATTATGGGGGAGAGTTGTATAAATATAATATTTTATCAGGACTTTATTAAGAGAATATAATATATATGTGCATACAAACTAACAATGGTAAGATAAAATGACTTTTGAATTGTGTTATTTTTCTCGCATTTATTTAACAAAGCATAATTTTTCCAAGCTGTTTTTATCAGTTATAAGGCATCATTAAATATTATTGTCTCACTTGAAAATGCTCTTGGCCATTTAGGCTTTCACTGCTTTTGTCTTTGTTGTGTTTGCTGTTTTTCATAAACAGTATTGCCTCTTAAATAACTGTCAATATCTTTGGCGTCTGTGCTGGGTACTTTATAATCACCCTCATCATATGTTAAACGTTCTGTTACCAAATCGACTATTTCATATTGTTTAGTGTCCATTTCATTGAAACAATTTTCCAAGAATTTTGAATTTTGCTTAAAATACTGATTGATATTTCGCAACATTTCTTCGCTAGCATTTTCCGTTATAGCATGTAACTTTTCGCGAGAATTCAAATAGAGTTTATTAAATTCTGTTTCGAAATTGGCGCGAGATCTTGAAAGGGAGGAAGTGGGTTTATAGGATGGAACATATATTTTAAATTACTTACAAAAATTCTATTTCTTCTTGATCCATGGGTATGGGGGATTTAGCTTCTTTATTGTGATTTGCGGTTTCAAAAGATTGTTTGAATAATTTTGCTCCCATTTTTATTAATATCTACTAAAATTTTGTTTACAAATTCTTTTTTTAATTTTTTTGACAATAGTTTTCTTTAAAATGAAATTGTTTTGAAATAAATTATGACAAGAAAGGGAAGGAAATGTTGGCCTTTTAAGGGTCCTTTAAATATATATATATCGAACAAGTTTTCATATGATTTTCCACTTTGAGGATATAGAATCGATTCAATTTTAAATTTTTTGTATTAAAGAATGCTGAAATACTTAATATGATATTAGAAGTCAAATGAAGTCAATTATCTCAAAGCCTTTAGATATCTCAATGAGACAAAGTTTGGTTTTATCGATCACGCATACCATCACATAAAATGGATCTATACATAGCTGAAAAAATTGAGTAATCCGTACTTTAATCAATCAAGAGCGGTTTCAAAAGAACACAAGGTACGTTTTTCCTTATAACAAAGACACAATTTTTGATTCAAGTATGAATCGGTTAAGTATGAAAAATCTATTACCTATAGGTACATACATATATATGTATTACACAAGCTATGTTTGTATATGCAAGTTTTTTAAGCTTTAGCCTGAATTTTCATTCATTAAATTAAGCAAAACTTTCAGAATATATGTACATATATCTCCTTTAAATTGGTTTGTCTTACGTAAAAAATGTTGTATTCCAGAATACAATTTAAAAATGTTATATTTTTGTATTGTTTCCATAACATTTGCATATTTATCAAATTTATAAAGGAGTATACCATGAATATTTACACACATACAAATACATGTAACTTGTGTATTTGTAAATTTAATAGTTGAATTTGATAGTAGAGAATTTCCCAAAGTACTCATTTATTGAGTCACAGAAAAACAAAAGAAACCAATAAAGGCAACAAAAAAGACATACAATAAAACATTTAAACCAATCTGTGTAAAACATGCATAACATGTTAAATCGTCTTAAAGAATAAACATATTACCCAACTCTCATTACCTCGTTCACACAAACAACTTTCTAAATAACACAATGTAAGGCGGAGGAGGAGTCGCTAATTAGCAGGATATTATCAATATTTCATATAGTAAATTTTACAAATTTTATAGTTAGCTGATTTTGCTATATGAGCACTTGTCAATTTATTATTTATCATTGGTGTATATGAACAGTGTCCATGACTCTACATGGCAAACAAGGATAAAGGATATTGTGTGAAGTATTGAACAGAAACTGAAAATAACTGAAATGTACAAATTTAAATGGTTTTACACATTTAAACAAGATAACATTGTAGTAGAATGCATGTATCATTTTAAAATCAGTCACATGTTTCGTAATTGTATAGAGAATTGTTTCCCCTATTATATAGATGGGTTTTAAATATATGTATGTTATTCAGGTATGGGATGTAAATACTAAAATAAAATGTTATAATTAAAATTTTTATAATTTTAGAATATAGAAATTAAGAAGAATTAAGAATTTATAGTTGAAACAAAAAGTCGATTTTTCAACTGTTTGCAATTTTTGAAAAGTTGACTTATTCTATATCCATTTATTTGTATACTCTACATCACCATAGTGGGGAGCGTATTTTATACGTTTGTGTTGATGTTTGTAACGCACTAAACTATTGGTTCCTACACCCACCTTAAAAATATATCATTCAGTATCACTTTTTGTAAAAAAAGGTTTTAATTTAGAAAAAAGTAAGAACTAAAATAATTTTTTTTAACTAAAAAAAATTTTAAAATTTTTTAAATTTAAAAAATATTTAAATACACTATGATAAAAGGAATGAATTTAACACCGTTACTTGTTTATATTTCCAAAATCCCATATCTGAATTTAATATTATATTTAATTTTTTGTTTATTCATGTACTAGTAACGTATTTTTTGCCTGGGTATGAGATCGAAGAATGACATTTGTGTATACAAATGCGTACATACATTCATACTTTCCCATTATGACTATTAACATTAAAATGTTGCAACTTTTGATACTATAAAATTGTAATTATTATATGGACACTATTTCATACCTCATACATGCTAACATACCATACTTGCAACTGAAATTGTTTCACCTTTTTAATTATTTTACTACATATAAATACTTTTGAAACATACTACTATAACATGTAATTTATTTTTAACCCTTTACAATTTCTGTTAAGATAAATAATTAAAATATTGTGAAAAAAACATTAATTTTCCTCTAATTTTAAAATCTTTTAAGGGGAATGCATTACATACTTATTAAACTAAATTAACACAAAATACAGTGTTTACTCATTATTTTCTAACTGCCTTATGCAAAAACGATTATTAAAGTTAACAATAGTTTTCTACACACTTTATCCATATAAAAACAGGTTTTAACAATCATTGTTAACTTAATAATCGTTTTTGCACAAGGTAGTAAATATTTAGGTTTTAATTTTTACTTATTTTGTTTGACATGTTTTCAATGGGTTAATTTACGCATACATTATAGTAATTTAAGTGCGAATACTATTTAACACATGCCAGCTATTGTTACTCATTAGGCTAGTACATACAAATTTATAAAAAGATATCTTATAAAATTTTTTCTTAATAAAGTACATTTTCGTCACTATAAAAAACCTTTTGATTTTCTGTACCAATGAAAAGCGAAAAAGTTTCTTTTTTTAGATTTCATATATATGTGAAAGAAAAATTACCAAAAAGTTGTCTCTTATAGATTGTCAATATCTCTGAGTTTTTTTTGAAACTGATGCTCACTTTTTTATGGGACCAAAGCATTTTGGGCCTCGGTGTCATTTTTGCAAAGAAGTGATAATTTTCTCAAGCTCATATCTTGTAAACCGTCCGGAAAAAACATTATCTTCAAGATCAAAATCGTAAAAAACAAAATTCGATTTTTTTACTTTCAATAGTTTTTATATATTA